TCAAAACCTCTCATACGGCATATTTTGGACATCCTGAGAAATGTTTTCGTTACATCTATTCTTGACGTTTGATGAACAAAGTGCTCGATTGGCGGTGTACTTGAGTCGGCGATGTTCGACTTCTGAATTCTGGCCGCAGCCCAATCGCAGCCTCCTCCACCGGTTGAGAAGAACTCGGCATTGGTATCACCATAATCGAATCTGGTGTCTTCCCTGGCTGCGCTTCATCAGATCATTTTATTCGGAACCCTGGAATTCTTTGTTACCGGCTCAATGCAGGGCGGATCCATCACAATGCATCTTGTCCACCGATTATGGTCAGTGAGACGAAGACAGATCCAAGTTTGTAGTGAAACTAAAACAAAAAACAAAACAGTGCCATGCATTGAGCAAGGTGTTTTACAAGGAAAACAAAAGAAGATTTCGGCCATTCTACCGCCGGAAGCGCGAGTTCATCCCAAGGCCCAAATCAATCCTCATCCCTTCTTCCACCAGCCCACGCAGAACCATTTTATCGTCCTCCTTCAGCTCGCAAAGGGAATATCGCCAAGTATCATGAACAAATTCGAGGCGAAAGGACTCAATTGTCTCGCGCCGCGCCGACAGCATAGCCGCGAGATCCTTATGCCACCCCGCGTCAGGGCATCCCCGTATTCCCCGGCTCACCACCAAGTCGGCGAGATCGGAGAGAAACACCTCACACGGAGTAAAGATATCGATCAATCCGTCTTGAAACTCGTCGACGCCGGTGAGCTCCAGACAAACGAGGCGAGGCGCAGATCCCAAACAACACTCCACGGTGTCCCTTGTCCAATCATCGTCGCTGACGTGGAGGCCGAGGGAAACGAGGAGGGGCGAACGGTCGAGGAATGAGATGAGTTCGCTGGCGTCGCTGCTGTGGACGGGGACGTATAGGGATTCTAGTGATGAGGATGTGAGAGCCTTCAAGATACGTGAAGAGGTATTCTCAGACCACGGGTTGCAAGTAATATAAATTGTAGCCACACTAGAAAAGCCTTGCGACCACATTGCCTACTCCCAACACCATTGCGATCACATTGTCTAGCCTCCCCAATGATTCCGATCACATTGGGATCGGTTGGCTGCATCCCGGCTTTCACCGGCTACCAGAAGATTTTTCCGGTTTTGGTGATGATACGTGAAGAGGTATTGACGCCTTTGATATCCAATTCATTGAGATGTTCGTGGTGCACGGAGTCCCCAACCGCGCCGGGGCCAAGCGATATGTAATGCAAATGCAGCGTGCACTCCGTGAGGTTCGGGGCGGACCGCAGGGCCTGGATGATTTCGCTGACGCTGAGAGAGGTGTAGTCCCTGTGGCCGCCCTTCGCCACGAAGAGGGACTGCAGGCACGGGAAGGTGGCTTCTGGTGTAAAAAGGCGCAGGTAGGACGGGGAGGGCAGGTGAATGTCGCGGATGTGGTGTGCGTGTGCAGCGATTATGACCATAATTCCCGGATCCGGATTGGTGCATCCACTGAATAAGATGGACATCGGGTGGTCCCTTGCACGCACAAACCACCCGTTGAGGAAATCTTGGAATTCAGCTGTGACCTCAGAAGGTAGGACGAGAAGCAGCTTCGACCAGAGTGCGGGGGTAGACAGCGCGATCGCGGTCCAAGAGGTGCATATGCTGAGCAGGAGGAGGGAGTCGCAGGGGTTTGGGTAGTCTTCGACCTCAGGAAGGAGGTAGTGCATGAAGATTTCAGATGAGATTTCGAGGGGGAGGCGAGCCATGGGCTCATGGTCGTTGGGCTGGCGGACTATGGCGAGCAAATCGTCACTCGTCATCGACGTTCACTGTACGAATTAGGAAGGTGACAAAAACAAATGCAAATTGCGGCTGAACGGCCCGAGCCTTTTCCGACACCAAAATTTCTGCTCGGCTTTCAGTTGCTGGCTCCCGCTGTTGCAGTACTTCATTTGGGCTTTATCAATAAATTCTTTCCCAATTCCAACTCCTGTAGAGGCGGAAATGAAGCCCTAAACTTCTCCTCGCTGCACAAGTGAAATAAGTACTACTTCAATTCCATCCAGGGCGACGAGGATTTGTTACAAATTCCTGTAGGCAACGAAGCTGCAAAAAAGAATCAAGATGCTTACCCGTATAGAAGCGGATGGTTACAAGTTACAACCGTCCGTAATTTGTAACTGCCGTGCAGCCGTTCAGGCGAGGTTTCACTATAAGTAAACCCACGATTGTCATATTGCTGTTCCATGCCAGGTTGAACTGAGACCGTCCTCCTCACGTTTAAATTATTCACTCTTTCCCATTTCCAACCCATATTATAGACAGTACTGTTTCGCGAATATAGCCTTTACAACCGCTCGGCTGAGACATCTAATCTAACCAAACCTTACCTCAACATTTATTCTTGAAGATGCAGCGTGAAACATCAAAAACTGGGGATGGGGATTTGACCAAATGGATTCTCTGCCTGGTTCGTCTTGCTGTTCTCTCTAGGGTCCCACTCAGATTGCCTTCGAACCATCATTTGACCCAATAATAATTTTCGACCACAGTTTTCGGGCGGTGTGCAATGCTGATAATCATCAGGGCAAGAAGCGGCTATGATAGTACCGTAGTTAACCGGTGCCGGACTACTAGTATCTCAACTCCGTTGAGTTTGTTGAGTACGGTGCCCTCAGGTGGATCGTTCTCTTTCACAACTCTCCTGTAGACCACTGTACAAGTCGGAGCGGCGACATTTAGATTCACTCGTTGACAACTCGTCCATGGAAAACACCAAACGCATTGCTCAAACGACGTTCCGACTACTGCGTCGAGATCTGTCGTTATGGGCACCGGGAAGCCACGCCACAGAGACCCATGATCACAGGGTGCGCTTGAGGCTGTGGTTCTGGATGAGAACAGTTCTTCTCATACAGCAGTGTGAGAATTGCCTCTTAAGCTTCTTCTTCGCGTGCGAACTGGCCTCAGGTATTAAATATTCCAGCCAGAGGGCAGGTTACGGTGAAGCCTCCAGAGAAACCTAACTCATCGAGAGATCCTGAGGGTTCAAAAACTAGAAAGTGAAGTGGCGGATGGTGGAGGAACAGCTGTCGTCGCGCACCGCCCAATACGGTTTTCTCTCTTGTTCCACAAATACTGCAAGGTTCCACGGCCAACCTATATATTTGCGCAAAACTCGTAAAGGAGGATGAGATCCATCGTTTGAACTCCTACCCCGTAAATTCAAGAACGAAACCTCTGCCACTTGTAAGTGAACCACGGATATTTTGATTGAGTGGGCGTTGACCGTCGTTGAAGACCTAAATTCAACCATTGTCGTTGGTCATCGCGGAACACCATGCCCACGTACTACACATCAGTTTATGCGCGTTAGATCTATGGAACTGACGACTCCCAGTTTGGCGGGTCTCATCGTCGGATTGATCTTTGCCGTCGCTGCATTCATTATATCAGTTATTGTATGTATCTCCAGGGCACGCGCCGGTGCCCGCGCGGGACGTGAGATATATCGCAGGAGTCAAGAGAGGCAAGCTGAGGCTGGGGAGGCTGGGGGTCAGTCTGGTGCCCATAGTGGGGCGGAGACCATAGGCAGGGAGCATTCCCGCCCCCAGGCAAAGGAGGAAAAGGAGGGAGCATGGGAGCATGTCGTGAAAGCCTTGATGTTCGTGGCGCAGTCTCCGTGCACTGGCGGGATGTAATTGAGTGCCCGTGGTGAACTTCCGCCGTGTTGTCTCTTACCCAAGTCAATCTAGTCTCGAAATCTGAATGTATCTTTGCGAGTCGGGAACCAATGATCAGTTACCATAACTTTCTGCTTATTCAACACATTGAGGTAGCTGATGATATTGTTGAAGTGTCAGTATGTGAGAGACTATCTCTGGTGTGGTTGACACTTGAAAAGAAACTTCTTTGTGCGCATGGGAGTTCAAATTTGTTCAAGGCTGTAGCTAGCTATAGTATAGGCAAGTCGCAAATCGCTCCTGAATCCAAATCTGCAACTTACCAGCACCTCCTTGACTTCGGCCGCCTGTCAGTGCACGATCTGTAAAGGTGAATTCTGCTGCGGCTGCGCCAAGTCGAGCACTTTTAATTTGATCTCGCCCATTTTCTATTCGTTCTTCTGCATTCAACCTCACGTATCGCCATGGGATGGAGAGAGGCTCTCCAAAAAAAAGTCAACATGAAGGAAGCCTGCTGTACTATTATGACCAAAGGTTCACGGGGTGTCACCCATCACCTCCAATATTCACTGGTTGAGTGTCACTGTCACTGACTCAAAAAGTGTTCATTCTGCCTGGAGGTGCCTCGAAGCTTACTGGGCTCGCTAACAAGCTGAGAATGAAAGGAGTTCAAGAGCAACAACATTAGCTCCATGCTGAGGCCCTATTTTTAGAGCACGTTTGTCGACTTTTCATGGTGTGTTTGTTGACTTGTGGCCTAACTATCTATTGCCCTCCAGAGACGACAAGGTGAAACGGGGCAAAGGCGCAATGGCGCATGCACAATGCTATTATTATTTTGTGTATCATAAGTACAGGTGCACAAAAAATTCAAAATTCAACCTCCCTCTCCTCTGATGGACACCGAAAATACCTTCACAATTTCCGACTGTATTGGCAAGCACCAGTTGTGGGCTACGATGCCGCCCCTCCTGTTCTTGGGTGTGGCCAGCGCAAGAAAATTCCCACCAGCTGTTATGAGGGCCCAATTTTTTGTGTAATTTTGGCCGCTTTTTTTGGTGAATTTCAGTAGCTCAAAAATTGATTTTACAAAAATTGAGGTGTTCAGTGGTCGGCCATCACTGTTACATAGACCAAAAGTGTTCAGTTTGCAGGTGCCTGTCACACATCAACTGAACTTTTGGTCGTAATAGTACAGTATCACATGCACTGTTACTGTTGTTACTATTAGAAACCACCATTGTGGCTGTATGAACTGATTGGATCGGTTTTGATTCAACTTTGCTCTTGTTGTGTTCTTCTCCATTCAATCTCGGATGTCAGAATGCCCGCCTAGCTCAATCGGTAGAGCGTCAGACTCTTACTTCCTATTAGGTGGGTGGCATCTCATTGGGATCTGAAGGCTGCGGGTTCGACCCCCGCGGTGGGCTATTGCGTTTTATTTTTGTCGCCTGCAATGGTTGTCACTGTACCACATTTTTGTGCGCAGTTCTATCATACACCTGTCATGCCTTTTTGCAGGTGTTTTTCCCTCACAGATGTGGATACCTTTTCCAAAATCTCTTTACGCAGCTATACCAAAACTATCTCAAAGGTGTCTTCTGGCTGCCACCAATTGCACCAAGCACCATTAGTCTATTGTTATGCCAAATACATGACTGAGGTATGCCTAAGAAGCCAACTACAGTAGGCCATATCCATAGTTAGTATTGATAAATAACGAAACCTGTTGTCTGAGTCAAACACAAGAGCTGTTAGAATAATTCAGCAAGCCAATGCACTGGATGGTTAGCATGGAGAGGCACAAGAATACACTGCCTGGAGATGCTGTGTTACAACAACTATGTGTTAAAAAGGCCTTAGTATACTCTGATCATATTTATTTTGGACCTCCCCCCCTCCTGCTCAGCAGGCTGCAGTGCAGCATCCTCACCCAGCTGTGCATGGACTACATCGGGCTCACTGTCTTCTTCCACTGCTTCAAACTTGCCACCCCGCACTCTGCTCTGACTGCCTCATCCCCCAAGTCTGTCCCCCACTTCCTCCTCTCATGCCCAGTCTATCACATCCACTGCCTACGCCTCATTCCTGCCTGTCCCTCTGCTCCATCTTTTCCCCCAAGGCTGATGCTGCCTCCTTGCTCACATTCACACATGAAAGCCATATGCATTCAATGCATATGGTCTTCAATGCATATAGTCTGCTGGTGAAACTAACATCACAAAGCTGGCTTTGTTGCATACTTTGTGCTCCTGTGTGGGGGAACAAAGTATGGGAAAAAGCCACCTTTTGTCCATCAAACTCAGCTTTGTGATGTTCGTTTCACCAGCAGACCATATGCATTGAACATATGTGTTACATTTTGCTCCCAGTGTCAGACTTAGGCACACAAAAAAATCTGCATGTACTGCATTTGTTGCTGTACACTCCCCTGCACGCACTCCTTTGTCTTGAGGTCCTGCAGTGAGTCTGCACAATTTCTGTGCCTTGCAACTGCAAATTTCCACTGGTGAAGGTGTCTCACGCCATATGTGTATCTGGCTGTATGAGATCTCCTTGGTTAGGGCTCTGACCTGTTTCTGTCTGAGACGGGTCGACAGACTGTCAAAATATTTTCCGTTCTCTCCATCGAGAGCATTTCCTTACTTGTTTTAAAAATGGGTAGAAATGAGTTTGCCAATACCTAGCTCTCTGCTCCAGCCAGCCCTCATTCAGATGTTCTTAAGGATTCAAAGCATCAAACCACGTAGGTTTACACAGAAATTAACCCACCTCTCACATTTAGTCACCCACCTGGAGACATAATAATGCACCCATCGAAAATGGCTAGATGGACGGGAACCGGTCAAACGGATCTGTCTGTTTTCCAAGTAAGAATATTTATCTATGGTTATACAGTCCCCCCATTTTTTGACCACAACTCTTGATGTAGATCCAGTACAGCTTGTGAATTTGTTGATACATTTCCTTTGAAAGTCAGTATTTATTGAATATGAGTTTATGTAAAGTAAGCGGAGCTGCTGGCCATAAGAAAATGTCTGTTGGTGGCTAAGCCCCAGTGTGGAAGTGCGACCTGGCTCGCAGGTCGACTTCTGTTCCCGAACCAATTGAACCAGTCAGCCAAGCATTATATGATGGCGTGCTTCATTTTTATTTTGCTTCTCTACCTGCATATTCAAAGTCTACTCGTATCAGTCACTCTCTTTTATCCTCGGATTCAGTGTTGGCACAGCTGGGTCAAAGGTCAACCCCAGTTGACAAAATTGATGCTGACAGCCGGTTGACGGTGTTTTGACGGCGGACTAAAAATGGTGTTCTACAAGCTCCATTGACAAATGCAACACCAACTACACCATTTTCTCTCATAATCCTTCAATATTGACTATCAACTAGAAGCCCTGTGGGGCTGCAATCATGTTTATGAAGGTAGTCAAGAATCACAGTTTACTGGAGACATTCGGAGAGTTGCAATGGAACTTGGGTTGTTCAGCAGACAAGCCAATTGAATTGGGACGATGGATTGACTGTCAAGAAGCTCTACAGAGGTACCTCTGATGAGCAGATGTGTTCCCACTATGTGACCATGATACTGTTAACTTACCCCTGGGCGGAATTTCTGGCAGACCAAAACAATCACATCAAGCTCAATATAAGTATTTGGATGTGTAAGACAACAAACTTGACCGGATTCAAATCTGAGCCAAGCAAATGTTGTCGTTGACCTACAAAACTTCGGGAAAAGAGTCTCGGTCAAGAGCTGGCTTTCCCGACCAACTCACGATGCGGCCTTGAACCATAAACTCGATTTATGCCTTTTTTTCCACAAAGTGCTCATTCTATACGTTATTCTCTAATTTACCCGCATTTTCTCATGATTTATAGACAGTGTTGAAGGGTCTTCCTAAAAGGGAAATTCTGGTTTGACCAGTCAAACGCGGAAGGAAGGCCCCCACCTGTTGTGGCCTAAATGGGATGCTCGTGTATCAAGGCCATCAACTTCCATCAAGCAATTTGCGATGCTAAATTGAGACTCGCGCAATGCTTTGGTGGCCTCGGTGGCCATTGTTCACAATGGAATGCCACTTTGGAAGTGTTTTGATGCGTAAATCGCGTTCCTTTCCACTTCCTCTCATCTGCAGTTTAAATCTCCCTCCCCACTTGTCGTGTGACATGTCTGAGGCTCAAGCTTTTCAGTTCGTCAATGTCGAGCCTGCCTCCCAGCCCCATCCCACCCCAAGGCCTATAAAAAAATTAAATTTGCACAGATCACCCCCCAAAATGCTTCAAAAACTATACACCCGCTATGACCGCCCGTAGTGTTGCGTCGGACATCCAGTTGGACAAATTGATGGTGTCCACAAACAGTGCACAGCGCTAGAGGCCATGTACCATCCAAATGCCACCGCCACCCCGGGCCTCATCCCCGTTGATCATTTATTCAAGCTCAATGACTATGATCAACTTGAGGCTGCGTCTCTTATGACACATTACGGGCTTGACATTGAGGCACGCAAGCATATGTCCAACTGGTAGTTGCACCAATGATCCCGAATTGGCGGCGGAAAAAACACGAAGGTAACACTGGACAGTACCCGAAAAATATTGTTTCTCTGAAGCGCAAAGACCAAAGCCACTTACTTTCACCATCTCAGAGAAGTCCCAAAAAAGACACCAATCCTATGGAATTCATTATCTAGTGTATTTAATATCTAATCAAAGTAATTTAATCTGGGACTTGTTTGAATCTTTTACTTGAGCATAGAATTCGCGGCAGTTAGTTGGTAACAAACAATAGCGGTCCGCGGAGGACAATGGCGATATGGGTTGCTGAATTGGGACCCGGTTGACCTGGCCGATAGCCGCCGCTTCCCAAAAAGGCAGTTTCGTGGGTCGGCCGTGTTTCCGTCAAACGCCGTCAGACGCCCGTCAAACTTTTGACGAATCATCATCCTCGGTCTGACGTCGTCAAAGCCAACACTGCTCGGATCTACTTTACATCTACGCAAACCTATTCTCACTCCCCCGAACCAACTACATAAGTATTCTAGTAGATTCAAATACATCGGTGATCTTGAAGAAGCCTGGACACGGTGTATATGTTACATTAGCACCATAACATTCAAGAAAAAGGTTTTACTTCCATTCCTCTGCAAGATGCCTGTCATTTCTCGCCACGCAGCCCACGCTACATGCGGAAGCAAGTTGCAGCGAGAAAACCCAAAGGAGTAAGACTTCTGATGAACTCATCGGAAAAAATCAGATGAGTACTACAGAGCCCCATAGAGCTGAGGTAGTTCGCATAGCGCCATTGTGGAATATAGCGTGTAAGTGGATTTTATCACCACCGTCAATATCAAGTCATCCTTGCTTTTTCAATTGAACATTTTGGTCCAATGGTCCGTCCCAAAGCGGCAAGTTTGTGGTAGCGTGGGATAGAACGTGGTCGGCAATACGGTCCGATATTTTGATCAGTCAAAGCGATGATGCGCAACATTGCCAAGGCATGCGCTACATTGAACTTGAAGTGACGTGTAGCCACAGCGACTACGGCAACTGCTGGTGCTATATTGTCGATGCGTGGTCCCACGGTGGTTTTTCCTGATGCTGTTCCACCAGCACAGCACCGTTCCGCTCTGCCGCGCTTTTGTAGAAGCTCATGTCATGTGGCGGCGGTGGCGTGTGCTGGCAGAGATCTGTCAAAGAATAATATTGCATCAAGAAGTTGCGTCTGGGTGCTAGAACGGAGAACAACTTGGAAGGCGCTTTTCTTCAAGTAACATGGTCTTCATAACGTGGCCGCGAAACTTCAAGCTTTTGCTATCCAGAGCTCTAAATGGACCTGCGTGTGTCGTCCGTGCGGTCCAAGCTCGTCCCGAACAAGTCCCGAACAACATTTTTACGTTGAACCTTCTATTCGTTACCCTCGGGGGAAGGATAGGTTTGCCGTGGCGGCGGTCTTGGTTCTGCCGAGGACGCCGCACATATAAAGCCATATGACGCATGACTTTCCTCCCAACCTCTCGTTGACCATGCAGCGTATTGCCCAGCTCTTACTCGCTGTTATCACAGCCAGTCTCGCGCTGGCTGCCTCAACACCCGAGGTCAATGATACGACCAGCACCAGCACCAAGAACGATAAGACCGTGCTCATCCTCGGGGGCGGCGTCGCGGGCATCATCGCGGCGCGTACACTGGCAAAGGAGGGAATCACCGACTTTCTGATCGTCGAGGCGCGCGACGAGCTCGGCGGACGGATGCAGAGCAAGGAGTTTGGCGTGGAGGGCAGGCGCGCGACCATCGAACTCGGCGCAAACTGGATCCAGGGCACACAGGAGGGCGACGGGCCCGCAAATCCGATCCTGACGCTCGCACGAAAACATGGCGTCAAAACAGCGGAAAGCGATTTCTACGAGTCCGTCGGTAGGTCCTG